GTTGAAATTTGAAATTTCAAAGTTCATTAAGCTTGAATTAGGATATGATTCGTGGTTTTAGCATTGTTTGATGTGATTTGAAGACTCGGCTAAGTTCGTATGATGTTTCAGGACTTATTGGTATATTTGGTTGGCGTCCCGGGGGGCCCGGATGAGTTCCGGGATGGTTTCAGATCATTTTTTCTTGTTTTGCAACTGCTGGAACTGGTGTCTGGTATTGTTCTTCGCGAACGCGAAGTGTCTCACCCGTTCACGAAGAAGGATTTTAGGTTGCTGGGATTTGCTCGTCGCGAAAGCGATGAAGGAGACGCGAACGCGAAAAAGAGGCTGGGGACGCCTACGCAAACGCGAGTGGGCGGACGCGAACGCGAAGAGGAAAGGGAGCTGAGGGCCTTCCTCGCGTTAAGCCTTCGCGAACGCGGCTCGTGTCTCGCGAACACGAAGGGCAGAGGTAGGAAGGCATCGCGAACGCGATGAGGAGGTCGCGAACGTGAAGAAGGAATCTTGGCAGCAAATTTTTTGTGATTCACGAACGCGAAACTATGGTCGCGAACGCGATGAAGGCATTTCTGGGTAGAATTAAAAGTTCCAAAACGGGGGTTTTGAGTTCATAATACAAAATCGAATTGGGAGCTCGGTAGAAGGCGATTTTTGGAGAGATTCTTGCGTGGGTGTTTAGGGTAAGTGATTTTTTTCCAATTTTTTTAATTTTCATGATTATGCCTTTGAATCCATCATTTAATGGATGAATTAAGTTGAACAATTTAGAAAACCCTCTTGGTTTAATTTGAAGATTTGAGGGTCGAGTTGAGGTCGAATTTTGATAAAATTGGTATGGTTAGACTCGTGGTTGAATGAGCTTTCGGATTTTGTAACTTTTTTCGGGTTCCGAGACGTGGGGCCCACGGGCATTTTTGAGCTAAATTTCAGATTTTGCTGGAAAATTAGTATTTTCTTATGGAATTAATTTCAATAAATTTTATTGACTAAATCGAATTATTTGTGGCTAGATTTGAGGCGTTTGGAGGCCAATTCATGAGGCAAAGGCATAGCAGAGTAGAGAATTACACTGTTTGAGGTAAGTAACAGTTCTAAATTTGGTCCTGAGGGTATGAAACCCCGGATTATGTGTTATGTGATTGGTTTTGAGGTGACGCACATGCTAGGTGACGGGCGTGTGGGCGTGCACCCTTGTTTCTCCTTCCCTATCCTTTTGTTTATTGTATTTGGTTTCAGATTATTATTATAGACCGGATTTTTCCAGACATGTAATGTATAGATGCTCATGTACTCAGTGAGATCGGGTTTTGGGGAGTGTGTTTATTTCTAATGTTTGTGGGATTTACTCTTAAACTTAATTATTATGTTTTCAGTATTTAAAAGAAATTGTAGGTTATTGGTGTTGTCGGCTTGCCTAGTTTTGAGATAGGTGCCATCACGACATGTTAGGATTTCGGGTGATGACATGGAGTATGTGGTCTCTGGGAATAGGAATGTGTTTCTTATCAAAAACATTCGTGTTTCTTGTTTTCCAAATATTCCATAGACATATTGGAAGAAGTGTTTGAGGATTAAGCTTGTAAGGCATTTGTCTAATTTTACCAGTTAGAAGGGGTTGTAGCCATTGTTTTGTCGTGGCTAAGGGATGTATGTAGTTTATAAACTGTGTAAGACCTAATCTTTCCCAATTAGTAGTTGTATTAGGACAATGTAAAAATATGTGTGTTAGAGTTTACTGAGGCGTGTGGCAAAAAGAGCAAGCAATATCATTTGATAATTCCATTGTGCTGTAACTAACTTTCAGTGGGTAATCTTCCATGTCTTAATAACCATATGAAGGACCTGACTTTTGGTGGTACCGGTAATTTCCAGATCCATTTGAAGTTGCATGGTGAACTGGGATAGAGTTTATGGAGTAGAGCACGATACATAGAACGGACTGTAAAATGCCCATTACTTGTGAGGCCCCAGAATGTACAATATAAACATGAATATTGTGGATAAGGTCTAGGAAGGATTGATTAATGATAAAAGGAAAGGTATTCCAATCAGTATTAAGGTTCCTGTAAGATTGAATGTTGGCATTATGGTGCTGGGCTGGGAGAGGCCATGTAACAAGAGATCGCAACGTGGTGTTTATGCCGATCCAAGGGTCGTCCCAAAATTTTATGTGTTGACCAGTGCCCACTCTCCATTGAAGTCCTTGTTGACAGAAGGTCCATCCCTTTAGAATTATTTTCATCTTCCACTCACACATGATGGGTCAACTCTCATTCCTATTTTGTAACTTTTATGCATAACGACTAGATTGTGTGACCAGTGCATACTTCGAGAGTTTATTGCTATATATCTGCTAGGAATATATAGCATCTCCATCAATGAAACTTAAAGAAAATTACAGTGTAGTTTTCTTGATCCTTTTACCAAATTCATATCCTCGCAATCTTTTTATCTAAATTTTGAGTTCATCATTATGTTCTTGTCTCAAAGGCAAACATAATAAATCTATCAATAAACACAATTTATATAATAATGTTGTTCATGTTTGATATTTTAGTCCTCTGTTTTGAGAAGGATATCTCAGCTATATATTCGCCAACAATACAAACAATCTGAAGACCTATAGTTGATTAAACAACATCCTAGTTTTGGATTTAGGTTAGGACGGATTAAAGCATTCTAGAAAAATAACTAAGTAAATAGAAGCAATCCCATTACAATCTCGTAACCACTGGCAAGTCTCTGGACTGATCCTCGGAATCCAGTTCTTTTAACTATAGGCTTCCATGCTTGAGCAATCTGGGGGGGGGGGGTGTCAAATTTTNGGGGGGGGGGGGGGGGGGAGAGGAAGAGAGGGAATCAATTTAAGCTATAGCAAAATTAGCAACACAACATTTAGTTTTCGATAATAAGCTTTGCATGATTTATGTAGAGCTCAAGTTATCCGGGCTTTAATACCGGAGGGGGAGGTCAAATGATGCATTAAACTATTAATTATACAACGATCATATTAGTTATGCAGGTTTTAGAGTGGGCATGCTTCTATCAGGGTGGACTATATTCACAAGAATGCTCATCAACTGTGCACTTGAATCGTTTTTTGTTCATCAAAGAAACACAAAAGAGAAGTCCGACTTCATCCACTTTTCTTCAAAACATCCCATCTTTTTTAGGTATTCATGTGAAAGCATCCGTTCAGTCGATAATATTTACCAATAATAAGTATTGTCTCTGTTTTTGTTGGGTATGCAGCATCCATGAATGCCAGAACATGAGGAAAATGTAATGTTCTTTGTAGCGCTTCTTTTAATACACAATATCAAGAATCTGATCAGTATCTTAATTACAAGAAAGCAATAAGCATAACAAAACACGACCAACCACAATACGCCATACAGCTATGATCCACGAGGAAGCATTAGAAGGAACAAATCGAATTCTACTTTGGAGAAAAGACAAAAGGATCAGGCCACTGCAATATACCAGAAAATATCTCGTATTTTTTGTGATCATCAATTGATATATGCATGAGTCCATCCTGATAGATAAAGAAGCGTATAGATAACAAATTTACAGCAACATACCTTGTATTCCAAAATGTGTAAGATGCTCCGGTTCCTCCATCCACCTTGAATCCCAACTTCTCTCAGATACCTTCTTTATTGCTTTATCCACTTATTCCAATCAGCCAAACCATCGATTATCTTTTTCCATTCAAAACTAGAGAGACTAAGGCATAGTTGTTGCTGTTGTAATCGAAACTAGAGGGATTGAAGAGGAAGGGAGCAAAGAGCTATGTCCCTACATGAACCATATTGACACAATGATCAACATATATGGAACTTTGGAAGTCATCTAACATAAAGCATCTTTGCAGCATATCAATTTTGGATGACACAGTTCTCATGTCTAGAGCTTTATACAATAGTGGAGAGACTGAAACAAGGATGTGAGTGAGAACCAAGATCTTACCATGCTTGCCAACGGTCTCTGATCAATTATTACAAAACTTATTTACTGATTCGACGTAAACCATGCAAGAGAAGAAACACTGCATCAAATAGAAAGTACAAATAAGTAGTATTCCAACAACAACCCAGTGAATTCCTACGAGTGGGATCTGGGGAGGATAAGATGAACGCAGCTTTACCCCTACCCTGGAAGAGTAGAGAGGTTGTTTTCGATAAATCCTCGGCTAAAGAAAGAATGAAAAGAAGTAACGGCAACAAGTAGCAACAACAACAAGATAACACTCGAAGCCAAGAAAGCAAGTAAACACCAAGTAGTAATAACAATCTAAGAATACAAATAAGTAGTATTCCAATAAAGTAATAATATAGATAAAACATCCTGAAAGCATATTAATCTCAAGAGTAAAATACATATGACAAGTTTCTACAACTCTTGAAGCAAATTCATCATTTTAAAGTTTCCTTTGCGTAGTTACCCTTGAAATGGATATTAATATTAGAAGGTAGAGAGAATGAATCCAATATCACTTATTATTCTAATGATTTACCTGATTCTCTCTAAATGATATATCTGATACATATCAATTGTTTGCTCCCCTTTTCCATGTGGTAAATATGATATAGTGAGACCTTTTTGTAACAACATTCTTATACAACAGTCATTCACTATAAAAGTTAAGTTTTTTGCGGAACTGATTTTTTATGCTATATTTTACCTCTATAATAACTTTTTCCCTATAAAAGCAACATCCATCTTTATAGCAGTACGCTCTTTGTAAAATTACCCTTGTATAACAGCCATGTAAAATCTCTAAAATCACCAATAACAAGTTTAAAGATTTTGATCTCAGCCTACTGCTACTTGGATTGAGATAGAAAATTCAACTGTTAAGCTATTAGATTGCCTACAAGGAAAAGCTATCAGATACCCGTTTTGGACATAAATCTTTGTCAATTCAAGCGTTGTATCCCTAGTAAGAGACTGGAATCTACATAACAAGCTACAATTATATACTTCTTCCATCAATCTTGAAAGAATTTAATCTTTTTTTTTTTGAGATGGTAACATATTGTATATTATAATAAAATAAGTACATAGGTTGTACTGAAACCATATTTACAAGTGAGTAGCCAAAAGAAAAAAACTTGGTCCTCACGCCTAACAAGATTCTAGGACATCTAGGATTGAAACAGTATCTTCTGCGTAGATTTGTTTACACCAAAAACAAAAAAGCAAAACACAATTAAGCTTGATCTTATGCACAAAGTTTCTTCTATCCTCAAAACATCTGGAATTCCTTTCTTTCCAGATTGTTCACCAAATACATGCTGGAATAGTTCACCATCTATCTCTGTCTCTTGCTCCAGTTCCAATTTCATCCCAACTGAAAAGAACTTCAGTAATCTTACTAGGCATTGTCCAAGCTAATTAATAAAGATCTTCCATAACTAGTCAGTTATCTTGCAATGTAAAAATAGATGGCTAACTGTCTCAACAGCTTCTCCACATAAGTGACATCTTGAGCACAATTAAATCCATCTCTTTATACGATTGTCTTGTGTCAGAACATCATCATTTATTAGTAACCAAGAAAAACATGCTAACTTATAGGGAATCTTGATTTTCCATATATGCTTCCAAGGCCAGTTGTTAATCTGCTGGTTAGCTTGATTCAGGATCTTGTATGCTGCATTCACCTTATAGATGCCACTGTTATGTCCCTGCCACCTTATTGTGTCCACCCCACTCTGTAAACCTATGAATATTTCCAGATGTTTGATGAAGTCAGTCATTCTGGCCACCTCACAATCATTCAAACTTCTTCTAAAAACAAGTGTCCATCCTTGGGGGGACCACATTTCAGCTACTGTGTTGTGTTGGTGTTGTGCCAGAACATACATATCAAGGTAGAGGTCCTTTAAGCATCCATCTCCCAATCAGTTATCTTTCCAGAAGGAGTTTTTATTGCCATCTTGCACTTTGATGGATGAGTTGTTCTTTAGAATAGGCCAGAACGACCTGATGGATCTCCATAAGCTAACTCCATATGTTGTATTTACTTCCTTTGTTATCCACTTGTCTTCCTCACCATATTTGGCTTTGATCACATTACCCCATAAGGTTTGGGGTTCTTGAGAATACCTCCATAGTCATTTCATCTTGAGAGCCTTGCTATGGTCCTTCAAATTCCCGATGCCTAGTCCACCATGAGCTCTGCCAACTATAAGAGATTTCCACTTGACTAAGTGAAAAACTCTTTTTTCTCTGTTCCCTTAGACACAAAAAGGTTCTTCTTAGTTTGTCCAATCTCTGTATGACTCCTGCAGGAATAGGGAAGAGTGACATCATATATGTTGGGAGTGCATCTAAAACTGAGTTGATGAGGGTGAGTCTTCCTCCCATTGATAGGTACTGGAATTTCCATTGGGACAGCTAAAGAATTTAATCTTCTAATAGCTTTAAAATGAGTGTTTTAGAGTTTAAATCTTTGTATATTTAGTTATAAATTTATTATAATGTATTATCTTTCTTTTAATTATATGCATATTTTTTGGGCATTTAAATTTGACTTTTCTTTACTCGAACCTAAAGACAAACATATATTTCTCTAAAATAGTAAGGCTATTTACAAATGTTAGGATTGTTTTCTTAATTTATTTCCTTTCAGTTAAATAATTTCGAGTTCCCTTACTAGTATAAAATTCAAGGGGGAAAATTAAAACAAGTAGAATTGCCCTGATAATGATATCACCGGGTAGCGGGTACCTTGCGCTTAGTAAAGAGAGACATAGAAGCAGAGGCCTAAAGCATCAAGGCAAAAATGAAGAATGGTAGGACTAATATCAGGCACATTTCTCGACAAAATCGTAAAATAAAATAAAAATTAATGGAGGGATTAACTAGTAGTGAGCAAGAGGATTCCCTTCCATTTTGTCTCAAGGAAACAAGCGCTTACTTGCAAAGCTCTTAACGCTTAGCTTTGATGTTGAGAAATTGTTCCATTACATCTTCTTTGTTCTGAAAATCTGATTGGATAGATGCTTCCTGCATCAAAGAAACATGAAATTAACAGTAAAAGTAGATATATTTTACACGAGAATTCTCAAGATATCATAAAGCCTAACCTTGATTTATGCTATCAAAGTAAGAGGTTTCTCATGATCCAATCAAAGTCATGCAAGCTCGTTGGTTCTCATTTTCTCCTGCCATCTTTCTCTTTTTCTTTCTCTTTCTCGGAGCGTCGTCCATCTTCCTTAATGGCTTATCACACACTCCAATCAGCTCAACATTCTGAGATTCATGTTCCTTTTGTACTACCGTTGCTGCTTGATCCACCTCCAGATCTTTATTCTCATAGTACAAATGTAGTCCCCTCTCTGTTGCGATGTTATTTTCAACAAACGCCTGCGAACTAGAAGTGCATGATGAGTGCTCTTGTTGTTTAAATGCCATTGAACAACCAATTTCAGTTGTCACTGCATTATCTTTTTGCGGAACTGGATGGAGTTTGGGACTTTGTGTCACACGTTGCTTCCTTCTCCATCTCCTAACTTTATTCTCATACTCCAAGCGAATTCCCCAGCATCCTTCTTTCCCTGACATTACAGAAACCTCAAATAGGCAATAATCATTTGGGTTCTTCGCTTTGGTGCCTAAAGGCTTAAAATGGTCCCGAAATATTTGAAATGGTATGTAGATAAAAAGCATGCCGGGAGCAGGATTATCATTTGGCGACTCATATAAGCAAAGGGGATCTTCCGAGCCAAGTAATGTTTCTAGGCCAGATAATCTGCAGACCAATGTAGGAGTAACTTTTGAATCTTTTTCCCCTCCATGAACTTGGTAGCATACCGAAAAACCCATGAATTTATCAGTATACCAAGATGGGTTCAGATTAACTGAGATTCTGTTTTGATTTATAAACTGATAAGTGAAAAACTCGGGAATTTTGCCTTGGGGAAATGAAATGCTAAATCTTATCCACCTTTGGCGGAAGAAGTCATTCTGAAACAAAAAAGCTCAGTTTTAATACATATGAATAATTTGACAAGAATATTCAACATTCATATATGTGAGGGAGATAAAAACCTGGATAGATCTCCTAAGAAAATGATGTAGGAACTTGAACACATTAACTTGGTTACTTGTGACAGTTCTGCATTCGGTTATTTCATGACCACACCATGATATTGAGATCTCTTCCAAGTTAACACACTTGAATACCAGATCTCTGATGCTCTTCAAGGCTAAATGATAGTCTGCACATAGCACCCGTAAATTCGGGGGTAGCTCTCCTGGCAGTTCAGTAAGACCCTTACAGAATTGTACGTTCAGACACTCAAGGCATAAGAGTTCGTTGATGCTGTTAGGTAAACAAGAAATATTGCTTCCACTTACATTCAAATATTCCAGAAAGTGCAAAGATCCAAGATCCTCAGGAAGTCCATCCAACATATTGAGATTATTAAGATAAAGATGTGTCAAGGAGGATAAAGCTGAAAGTTGATGCAAAACAAAACTTGATGAATGTTGAAGTTGTACAACATGTGAGAATCTAAAACTCCACAGTTTGCCAAGCTTGATGATGGAGGGAGGTGGTTGGGAGATTGCAGTTCCTCTTGCATCAAGTAACCTTAACTGTTGCAGATCACCAATGTTTTCCGGAAGATTCTCTAGCTTTTTGCAGCCGTAGAGAATAAGACTTTGAAGATTCGTCAAATTACAGAGGCTGTTTGGTAGACTTGCAAGATCTTCACAACCTTCCAGATTGAGAGTATTGAGGCCGCTCAGATTCCCAATGGATGAAGGTAGTTCTCTTATCTCTGTAGAATTCACAGTCAAATGTTTCAAGCAACGCATATCTCCATTGATTTCTGGAAATGTATCTAATCTTGGACAATTATATATACCGAGATAACCAAGGGATTCCATCTGAATGGATTTCGGGAGCTTCTTTAAGTTCTCACATCTGTCTAAGGCTAACCGGACAAGCTTTCTTTGAACTCTAAGAGATATGGGGAGCTCTACCAATCTAGAACAGCGGTGTATACTAAGTTGCTCCAATTGCTCTGATTCAGAGAGGCTGTTTGGCAGCGTTGCAAGTTTATTGCAACCCAAAATGTCCAGATATCTAAGATTTTGAATAATAGTGTCTGGAATACTTTCAAGATCTTCACAATAGTACAAATGTAACTTGCTCAGGCCGCTAAGAGACATGAGGGGTAAGCTTCTTATCCAGGGGGATTCCACATAGAGTTCTGATAAGCGCTGCATATTTCCACAGATTTTTGGAAATTTTCTTAAACTTGTGCATTCACGGAGGTTGAGAGTCTCAAGAGATTCCATGGAGACAAATTTTGGAAGCTTCTTAAGTTTGCTACAACCCCTCAAATTCAAAGAAGTAAGCATTCTGCAATGTCCAAGAGAGGAATGGACCTCTTCCAAATTCTTACACCCCTCTAATATTAGTCTCTCCAAGTTTGGCATGTCACCAAAACTAGGTGTTTTTCTTAACCCAAGGCTCTTGCTTAGATCCAAATGCTTCAAGTTGCTCAATCTCTGTTTTCATACAAAGAGTGGAATATAAAACATAATGTTTCAGTGAAATACCAGTTAGCTTAAGTAGTACTAATAGAAATATTGCCATGTATTTTATGGAGGAAAAAGAAAAAGAGAAGAGAAAAGAAGAGAAAGAGAAGGTTATTACAAAACTGACGGGAAATGCATACTCCCTCCGTTTCAGTTTATGTGAACCTATTTGACTAGGCACGAAGTTTAAGAAAGAAATGAAGACTTTTACAGCTTTGGGGTGTTAAACATCCCAATGTTTGTGTGGCAATAAAAGCTTCTCATTAAGGTTAAAATTGGAAGTTTAAGTTAAATTGTTTTCAAATTTAGAAAGAGATCATTCTTTTTGGAACGGACTAAAAAGAAAATACGTTCACATAAACTGAAACGGAGGGAGTACTAATTAAAACGGAAAAGTTGCGTTTTCAGAATGCTCATTAAAGTAAGTAGACCGGACGAAAGAAAAAAATTAAAATAGAGTGTAGCTAATGTGGAAATGAGTTTTCAGCTTTGTTTTTAAATACATTTTGTCTTAACATCTAAATTGATATTTCTTCTCTTTTAATTTAACAATGAAAATAAAACCTTCACCATAATCTCTTTTTAGGTTTTGTTATGTGTGTGCGCGCGCGCGTGAGAGAGGGACCCTTAACGCTTCAGCCCCGGGGCTTACATTCATCTTTAAAGCAGTGATAAATTAGATTATAAAAAGGAAAAACTGAAGTTTTTATGCCAAGTCAAGTTCTTTATTACTTGGAATATATCAATAACATTTATTACGTGCAACATTTATATCGTGGAGTGCTTAATTTATGTGCATTAAACCTAGCCAAAGAAAAAACCTGGAATTTTGTTGTATTGGAGAGAGAGAGAGTGTGTACAAGTATACCTTTGATATTGGCCAAAGTTCGACAAGCCGACTTCCCTTTAAACAAAGGCCAACGAGGTGTGATGGTTCAAACCTCTCCGGCAATAATCTTGAAGGATAATTTGGCCATTCAATCCACCGAAGGCTAGAAGGAAGACAAGTGATAATGCTACGCGAGCAAATAGTTTCAGCCATGACAAGAAAAAGAAAATCTGACCAAACAGTTTCACCAAGTATCAACACCTGTAAGCTTTTCATCCTCTTGAATACCTTGCTATGATTGACACGATCATCTTCAAAATCAAAACCTTTTGGAATCCATAGGCTTTCCACCTTTTTTGTTTTCTGAAAAGGAAGAGATATATATCTATTTGTTAAGGAATTAACAAAAAAGAAGCAGAAAAAACTCAGCCGAACAAATTAAAGTCACAATACTATGAGCTTACAAAAATTATCAAATTAATTAAAATATTCCTTACCAACTTTCCAGCAAAAAGGTCATTAACCTCTTCATGAAGCCATATTCTGCTGTTTGCATACTCTTCCCTTAACATATTTTCACCCATTTTTCTTATCAAACTATGCATCCTAAATGTGTAGTCATATCTACTGAAGGATAAGAGAGATTTTTCGATGAGGCGGCTTATTCCTATCGACTGATGAATACCGCAACTCTTAAGTATTAGTGCCACATGATCCATTGATTTATAATTGTACAAGCTTGCGATATCTAGAAATATCCTCATCTCATCCCTGTTCAATCCATCAAGACCAATCTTAAGTTTTCCTAAAATGTCATCATTAGGGATTTTCTTCAGTCTATCAATTATATCTCTCCATTGCTCTTTGTTTCGTCCACAAAAAGAAGGACCCAAAACTTTAAGAGCTAAAGGGAGCCCGTCAGCATACTTCACCACTTCCCTTGAAAGTTCCTCAAAATCTCTCTCTGGAGAATTTCTATTGAAAGCATGCACATAGAACAGTTCAAGTGCATCATTCTCAGATAACAGTTGGACTTCATACACTTTATCCTCCTTGACATGAGCGATTATGATGTGCTTGTCCCTCGTGGTAATCAAAATTCTACTACCCCTACCAAACCACTCTGTCCCTCCAACTATAAGCTCTAGTTGACTTAGATGGCTTACATCATCAAGAATGACCAAAACTTTCTTCCAGCGAAGCCCATTCTTTATAATTATGGCACCTTCACGTTCACTAGTTATAGGTATATTTTTCCCCAATAGCTTATGGATGAGAGCTTGTTGTAACCATGTAAGTCCCTTTTTCAGGTACATTTCTCCAACATCGCCAAGAAAACAATCAGCTTCAAATTGATGACGATATCTCTCATATATAACACTTGCAATTTCTGTCTTGCCAATTCCGCTCATCCCCCATAATCCAATGGAACGAACATCATTTGATTCCGTATCTAATAATGAGATTATTTTCCCAATTTGAGGTTCCATACCCACTAAGCTTCCGGAAGACAGTGGGATAACTTGAAGCGACTTTGGTAATATGTAATCAACTACCTTATTGATGCACTCAACCTCATCCCTACACATTACAACAAAAGGAGCCACTATGTAAATTAAGCAGAAGTTAACATAATGTTTTAACAGACTGTTCTCTAAAACAAATGCCCACATTAATGCTACAGGGTAATCAACTACTCATTGTCAATTATAATGTTTTATCTCCAAAAATTTAATCTAGAAATAGTTATAAGCCTTATCTAGATAAATCAGAAAAATATCTTCCATATATATTCCTTATTCCATAATTTTTACAGTTTACCTGTATCAACTAAAAGTTTTCAAAATATTGCAAAACAAAATCACGATATAATAAGACATATATATGGAGAATCATAAGAAAATCAAGACATCTTCCAATGATGCTAATATACCATATCAAGATGAGCTTATTATATCAATTAAACTTGTTTTTTAATTATAAATACAAGTAAACCGACTACATGTCTCTGCTTCGTGGATCTTTTTCTCTTTATAGGCAAAAAACACAGATGATAGTTGTTTGGAAATGTAACTTACAGTTTTGTCCTATTTCCTCTTGCAAAACGAGAAAGCGAAACAGAAGAAAAAAGAAAGCTTACTTATAATTTTTTAGATCATGACCTGATAATTTTCCAGCCTCTGCAAATGCATCCCTCCATCTTTGAACCTTCTCCTTATCATCTTTGTATGTTTCCTCGTGCTTGGAAAATGATTTAGTGAACGGGGGATTTTGATGGCGTACAACAGATGGGCTCACATCATAAAAGATTGGAAGCACAATTTGGTCCAATTCATTTCGGCACTTTATGATGTGGGCAAGCTCCTCTAAGCACCATTTTGAGGATGCATATCTCTTGGAAAATATCACGACAGCAAATCTGGACTCTTCTATGGCTTTCAAAAGTTCAACAGAAATTGATTTTCCCGTTTCCAAACGCTCATCGTCTTTGAAAGCATGGATTCCTCTCTGTTCTAGAGCATTATAGAGATGACTCACAAAGTTTTTACGCGTATCTTCACCTCTAAAACTCAAAAAGACATCATACTTCCAGACTTTGGAAGATGAAGACATACTGGAAGAAACGCAAGACATTTTTGACGATAACTGGTCGTTATGTTGCTGCTTTACAAGATACATTGCCAAGTCTTCTGCAACTTAAGGGAAACTTCTTGTCATCTTCCTTCTTGTGTTTTTATCCAAGTCTTAACACATATATTCTTTTAAAACTTCCTATAGACAAAGTAGGTTTGGTATAATCAACAACTGCCACCATTGACCAGCCATATAAATTACTGTATTTGTAAGTTAACGTAATTGTCATTCTCAGTTATTTTTATATTTGTTGTTTCAATAATTGAATTGACTTTTCTTTCAGTAATCACCAAAACATTTTATTACAATATCTTTATGTTCTTAAGTTCAATGTCTCTGGAACATCACTATCTGCAACATCTTCGATACAGCACAAAGGCTAACATGGCAAAAGGAATTAACTAAGAAATACAGAAAACCTAGCTTAAAAAATAGCATCTTCAACTCTATTTGCTTGTCGATTCAGAAGAAAACCTAACAGCTAAAAGCATTTCTTCAGAGAAATCGAACAAGCGATTTAATTAGAGTAAGTTTATAGTATCAGATTACTCGGACAACTAACCTTCAATTTCCTGTAAAAGTGCAAAAAATGAGAAGCTCGCCCATCTCAATTCATATTCAGTCAGCAGCACAGACCAACGAAATTTTGGGGGAAGAAGAAGACAGAACGGAGACGGGAGTTGAAAGTACAGGTTTTTAGGCCCTCCATAAAAAAGAAAAATTCATTTTTTCAATTTCTTTTTTCAACAAAAAAAAAGTGTTTATCCATAAAATTTTGCAAGTTTTTGAAAGATTTTCAATACCCAAAATTTTGAGGGATTTAACACAAATAGCCAGCGCGATATTTATTATTTACTTTTTCTAATCATATACATAGATTATACATAATTATACACATATAATATATTAATTATGCATATATTATACCTCAACAGCACACTAGTTTTAGTTTAAGTGGTTGAGTGGACAGTTATTTGGGTTAATTATTCAAAATAGTTTTGACGACTTTTTCAAAATTTTTTTTTTCCACTCACAAAACTGCAATATTTTTTCAAATGAAATGCATGTCCAAATATAACTTCAAATTCTAAATATCATTTTTCAATTTAACTCCGATTACTACTTTTTCGAAAATTATAATTTTTATGTCCAAACTTATTTAATGCTCAAAAGCTTTTGTCTTTTTTGGGATTATTTGGACTTACTATCTGACGTCTGCGTGTATTAGTTTATTTTGCCACATCATGTGTATTAGTTTATTTTGCCACATCATTAAGTGTGAACTACACACATCAATAGGTACAATAACAACAAACCTAGTGAAATTTTACATGTGTAGTTTGTGAAAGAAGTGTATACGTAGTTGTTTACCCTAAATTTTTGAGTAACAATTAAATTTATTTAGTTATTTCAAGGATACGTGATTTAATCCAATGTTAATTGATAAACAATGAATTAAATAGATAATCTGAATAGTAAAATAAATCAAACCAATGTTCTGGCAGTGCTTTCGACTTCGATTCGAGATGGTCTCGAGTTTGGGTAACAAGAACAATAAAGAACAGAAAATAAACAGTGATGAACAGTAATAGATAGTAAGTGAAATAGAGAAAGCAGTGTATGTGTATGTGTTTATTAGTCAATCCATCTCTCTTACAAATGAATGGGGTCCCTCTTTATATAGTAGAGGAATCCTAAATAAGGTACAACTCTAATAACGGAAACAAATCCCATGATTGGCGTCAATAACCGCTTGCTTCGATATGTTCCGGGATTTCTGCCGAGATCTTCGGTCGGTTGCTAATATCTCGTCATTCCGTTATTATGCCTTACTCGAAGTCGGTCATGCTCGGTCTCGATCTTCAGCGAGCACTTTGATCTTCATGCTCCATACTCTGCCATTGAGCTCGAGTCTGGTCTATTATGAGCTAACTCTCGAGGCAACTCCTCGTGCCTATGAAATCGGACATGCCCAATTTCGACCGTATACAGATAGTCCCCGCATTTCTTGGAATAAAATGATAAGAAACGGTTTGAGCCTTGATTTTCCGAAACCTCGATCATGACGTCGTCCTCATGACATAAGTGACGGATGTGACTGAAACGTCCCGTCGATTCAGTTCCACAAATCATTAATTCCTGTCAGTTATCGGTCGGCCACTAGCGCCACCGAACCGTCGCCGTGAGCCTATAAATACCCGCTCCTTCATTGAATCAAACTTTACTTTTGCTCTAATCAAAACTCTAAGTCTTCTCACTCTTTTCGTCTCCTCCTTTTCGCCTTCAGTAGAGCCACCTTCGTTAGCACCGAAACCACCAGTTTTTCATCTTCCTTCGCTCTTCTTTACTTATACAAATGGCGAAAGCCTCAAAGACCGTACCGCAGAAGGAGAAAGCTTCTTGCTCCTCTTCCCGATCGTCCGGCGACAAGGAGCCGGTAGAGCCACTTCCCCACGAGTATGTTCGTGGCCTGTGTACTCTAAAATCCGACTTCAAGGTCGAAAACCCTTCATCAATCCCGGGCCGATGTGAGCATGTGTCGATGTATATGTGCTCGATAATGAAGAGCCACCTCGAGGCCATGAAGAGGGACTGAAACTGGGGTCCCGAAGTCATGGTGCAAATTCCTACTCTCGAAGAGAGCACCACTGCTTATGTGGAGGGGTTCCTAAGTGTTTACACTTACCCCTTCACATTGGGTCCCCTCGACCCAGTGATTATTGATCTCTGTAAAAGATATCAGGTTACCCTCGGCCAAATCCACCCCTCTATGGCGCATAGTCATCATGTTGTGCTTCTTCTCTAGTAAGGCCGATGGGCTAGAGTTTACTCTAAATCACCTCATGCGGTTGTACCGGCCTCGAATCTATCGAGGACTAATCAGGCTCCAACACCAGGCAACGAAGGCCTTGATCTCGAGCATCGACGAGGACAAGGATTGGGGTTGGATGAGCCATTTTATACGGGTGAGGACCCGCGACATTATCCCGGAAGAGAAGATGTTGTTCCCTGAGGAGTGGAACTTTGACCGTAAGTGATATTTTAAACTTTGTTCTTCGTACCTTCTTCGACTTTGCCTGATATCCCCTTTCGACATGCAGCTATTCCTTGGATGCCTCAAGCGGTAGCTGACCTCGAAGATTGGGTTCGGAAGTTAGCCTCAACTTCCACTTATGTCGAACGCGCATGGCGTGATTTGGAAAGGGGCAGATGGGAGGCCAAGAACCACGGTAAGGATCTCCTTTTTCATGTTCCAAAACACTTTTTATACTTCATTCGTCACTAATTTTCTTTCATGCAGGCCTGGCCACGGATACCATTTTGAGGCCTTCAAGTGGCGAGGAAGAAACCAAGTCCCCGGTTCCAAAGCCGGGGAAAGACAAGAAGAGGAAAATTGCCTCGCAGTCTGAGGACCCGAAGCCCAAACATCGAAGGGTAAGGAGGAAAGTAATCACTCTCACGATGGACTCGGTCCAAAAACTGAGAGACGAAGAAGAGGAAAATGCCTCGGCACTGACGGTCCGACCTAGGAAAGCCGTCGAGGTCACCAAACCTTCTGAGCCGACGGCGGCTGCTAAAATCAAGCCTCATGTCGAGGAGGCTTCCAAAAAAGAAATCGGGTGAGGATCCCGAATTACCAGAGGTCGAGATCGTTTCTCAGCCATCTGCAACTACACTGGACAGGGCCGGTTCTGAGATCCCGAAGATCGATCAGAGCATCCCGAGCGACTTGCTCGGGACCATGACAACAGGTCACTTGCCTTCTCTTCCGACTTTTTCTGAGGAGGCACTAAGGGAAGCTCGAGAGTTGAAGACCCCTGATATAGGCGGAGGCTCTAGTGTAGGGGATCCCTTTCGGGATTTCTTTACTGGAGTCGATGATGTCTCTGATATTATGACACTTCTATTCTTTTAGAAGAGGCCCAACATCTCTTTTCTCAGGTAAGAATCAGTTTACTGCTCTTATTTTCTTTACTCTTTTTTTCTCTAAATCTGACTTGTGTTTTCCTTTTTTGTATAGGCCTTTGCCAAGTTTCGAGCTGACTTAGCCAGTGTGAAACCGAGCTCTAAAAGGTCTCGGAGGAGAGGAACGCTATGAAGCTTCTTTGTGGCCAAAAAGACGAAACTATAAAGGACCTTCAAGCGGATTTGGCCAAGGCTCGTGAGGAAGAGGCCGGGCTAGATAATCAGGTGAGCATACTTTTGATAAAGTATGGACTCGACCCAACTGTGGAGGCTAATACTTCATTATCTCAGCTGTAGCAAAAGGTTGAAAGGATCGAGCTGCTTCAGGGAGGAGTCGATCAGGTCAAGGCCGATTGTGATTGGTGGAAGGAGAATATGGACCGCCTGGCTGCAAAAAAAGAAACTACCTTGGCCAAACTATCATCGGCCGAGGTTCAACTTCGGGGCATCAAAGAAAAAAGTTCGGCCCAAGCCAAGAGGATCGAGGAGCTTGAAACCGAGCTTGCTGAGGTCAAGGCGGAGATCGAGAAGACAAAGGTCATGGTGTACAGGTCCATTGCCATGTACCGGGCCAATGCTGAGGCTGCTCAAATGTAGCTAAGGGAGGCTTCTGACCGAGAGCAATGGATCATTGACTCGGCAAAGTGTCAATCCCGGAGGGAAACCCTCGAGGAAATCCATACTCGAGGTTTTGACCTCTCTGAGGAGATAGCCCGGAGGCATTATCGGGTGCTTCCAATAATGCAAATGGAAGGGCTCTGATTCCTTCCAGCATTCCCCTAAATCAAACGGTTCAAAGAGCTGATAAGGACACTCCAAGGGACGAGGTCAATTTCGACGAGGCAGGAGGTATCGGTAGTGGATCTGTGAACAACTTAAATGACCCTTTCAAAATAGAGCTCATGAGATTCATGAGAGAAATGACTGGACGAATGGATCATAATGCAAAGGAATTTCATGTTTGGATGGATCAGATCCCCGGAGCGTCGCCGATGTTAAATAGACCGAATTCCAAGAAGTATATGCGGATGCCATTTAAACCAAGTACGGCACCAGAGTTGATCTCAAAGAGGTTTAAGATACCAGATATACCAAAATTTGATGGGACTCCTGATCCATAGGAACACATCACGACTTACACTACAGTAGTAAAGGGAAACTACATGGCCCATCATGAGATCGAATCTATTTTATTGAAGAGGTTTGGTGAAACCTTGACGAAGGGTGCCTTAACTTGGTATTCTCTCTTACCCGAGAATTCTATTGATTCTTTTGAAATACTTGCAGATTCATTTATGAAAGCTCATGCTGGAGCAAGAAATGTTCAGGCAAGGAAGGCGGATATATTCAGAATATCCTAAGGAGAATCTGAATTGATGCGAGAGTTCGTGATCCTATTCCAGAAAGAAAGGATGTTGTTACCAATGGTTCCAGATGAGTGGGCAACAGAGATATTTACAAAGGGTCTCAACCCGTTGAGCTCCAATGCCTCTCAAAAATGGAAGGAAAGCTTGCTTTAATTTCAGAAAACAACATGGGCGGATGTTCACAACTGCTACGACTCAAATATCAGAATAAAAGATGGTCAACTTGGCTCCTCGGTATCTTCCAAAGGACAAAATCGTTACCTGAATCAAGATAAATTTAAAAATAATTTTGATTCTGATTGAAAGTCCTCTAGAAGTTGTTTTCAACCTTACGAGAGGGTAGATGGGCGTGGTAATAAAGGATTATAGTTATCGGATAGGTTC